TTTTGTAATTCTGATAATATAATCATAGAAAATCATATTTTTCTCCTAAGTCAAATAGTTGTTTAGTTATCACTTCGTAGCTTTCTGGTTTAAATTCTTTATTATAACTTTCTATTAAACTTGAATCTTGTAATTTGATATCAAAAAATATATCAGGTACTAATACATCTATTATATATTTTGTTCTATCTAGTTTCACAATGAATAATCGTAAAATATAATTATTCTTTCGATCTGTTGAATTTGTTATATCATATACAAAGAACAGATTTGATTCAATTTCATCAATCAGTTTTTGTCATTTAGACATTTTTACATAATTAAAAATCTAGTTGATCTTTCGACTAACTAGATCATTTAACTAAAATTGTTTTTTTTACAAATTCAATAGTTTTTGAATAAATCGAATTATAATATTTTCCACATATTTTATGATAATGAGACTCTTTCTTTTCACATATCTCACAATCTAAATATAATCCTTTAGATAAATAAGTATAATAATCTAAATAGCTACAAGAATCACAATAATCTATATGTAATTCTTTTACTCTAACAAGATCATATTTGTAAATATAAATATTCAAATTAACTCCTTTACAATAATAATTCCTATCTTTGTCTCGTATCAGTTCTCTTTTTTCTGCTTTATCTTTAAGTTTTATCCATACATGTTTTTTATCTTTAGTAAGTTTAAATCTGTAAATTAATACTTTCTATGCATAAATGAACTCATAGAATTTATGTTTTTCTTCTTTAATATCAAAAAGCTTATATACAACATTTAATAATCTGTTTGTTCTTCTTAATTTTGCTTATTCTTTTGAAGTCAAATATGAAAATATCTTAATCTAAATATCAAAACACATGATTATTAAATGGTTAAAAAATTGCTCAGTAATAATTACTAAGTATTTTTACATGATTAAATTTCTGTTCAGTAAATATTTACTAAACAGATATATATATAAAAAAAAATATAAAAAAATAATAATATAATAATATTTTTTCAAATATTAAATTATACTCTCTGAAACAACAATCAGCTAGTTTATGATTCTCTTCATTAGAACAGTTATTCTCAAACTTAATATATTTAGGATACATATTTGTGATTCTAGAATCATATTCTTGATATATCTTAGTTAAATATTTACTATCTGTAGTCTCTCCTTCTTGATTTCTTTTTTCTTGTCATTTTAACATATTCTCAATTTTTGGTTTGATATAAATAACCTTGTGAATATTTTTAAAATCAATTTCTAACCTTCTCTCTTGTAAATAATCTAAAACATCTTGTTTTTTAATATTATGATAAGTAAATGCTTTAGTATCAATATATGTACGATCAAAAATCATATAATCATAACCAGTTAATCGATTTATCTTTTCTACTTCTTTCTTGTAAGTTTTTAGGATCACATATTAGAAAAACAAAGCATGTTTTTCTACATCTTTATAGAATAAATTTAATTCACGTTTTATTTTCAATGATGTCTCAACTGGTCAGTATACTTTTAATTCTTTATCTTCTAAATATTTTGCAAATTTTTCTCCAAATGTAGTCTTTCCAACTCCAATTCTACCTGTTAAAATGATAACTTTTGAATCAACTTTTTGTCTTTTAACTGTCTTGTAAAAATTTTCAGAATATTTTCTCTTCAAATATTTAAAAGTTTCTTGTTCAATTCTTTTATCAAATTCTGGTTGAAATTCGTATCTAACAATCTAAAAAGTATCATTGATATCTTGTTCAATTATAATTCTTTCTGCTTTATTCATATTTCCTTTATCAAATACATATTCTTTTTCATCACGTACGATCTCACATAACTTTTTTACAGATAATTCAAGTTCATCAAGATATTTTGTAGTTTTTTTTTTAAATATTTTTTAATGATTACCTAGATAAAAATTCATTCAGTGTAATATACTGAATGAATAAAATACAATATTAATAAGGAGTTACAGACTTTCTGATAAGTTTTCTATCCTAATACTTCCTTCAAATTTTATACCAAATATTTCTGTTTTTGTGTTTTCATCAGTTGTTATATTTTCAAT